GAATAAATCGCAGTTCCATGAAGGAACGTCACCAAGTCAAGAGAGATATGTGAAATTTAAGCTAAATTATTCTTCCACATAACATATCGACAATTTATGAGCGGTATGAATAAGCTATATGGATCCAGAAACGAAATAGCAACAACAGCACCTTTTATTCGGTGTTCTTGGATTTTCCTCGTTCAGAATTGGACCTTCAGCATTGAACAGATACTTTCCAGCGATTGTTTCCTTATCAGATGCGAATATATCAAACCATGGGAATATGTTCCTGTAAAGGTCAGTGAACACATGAGAAATGGTGAAGGATCAGACAAACAATGAGTATGAGATATGTGTGTGGGACCTGGGAATTCTCGTGTCATGGGATTTCAGCCCTTTTGTTTCTATAGCAACTTGATCAACGAGTTAATAGATCAGACATCAGACATTGAATATGATAAGGAATTGGAATTTGGGCTAACGATTAAGATTCAACTGAAAACCTGACCAATTGACGATTAATTGCGACACATTAAAGAGTGGTTTCAAACGCCTCGAAAGTTTTTGACCATGAAGGCGATACCAGTCGCGTACGAAGAACGCCAATATCACTGCAGCAACTCCAGTCAAAGTCTTTACCAATCCAATGCCGTTGCCGGCCAGCATTTCGAAAATATTCACTAATATTCTGAAATATGCAAAATTCTTTGGCATTTTTCGATAAAATGAATGACTCGAATAGAACAATGTAAGTATGACTGATCAAAATTGACTCTTGCTTGATAGGTAAGTACGAAAAGTTCATGGGCTATGGCAATTATCTCATGATCTCGTAAGGATTTATTCGCAACAACTATGTTCCGAGTATGTTCATCATTAAAAAACTCCGTGATAAACAGGCTGTGCAGCAAAACATGAAAACTCTTGACTGGAATAACTGAAATTAGAACTGAAATCAGAGATCCTCCTCTATCACATTCCATTTGCTAGAGTTGCGTGAAATTCATCAACCGAAAGCAATCACCACCCAAACTCACCCAAACAATCCACACGTTAATAGAACTGCTATAGATGTTTTTAATCGATCTCTTACGATTTCAGCTTCACTGAAAACAAATTTCTCGAACATCCTCAGCTTTCGTTCCGAATGTTTACATAAAATTTTCACATCTAAGACCACCTACATCATCAGAAAGCTCCTTAGATCAGTGGTTCTCGTAGGGAGTGAAATTACCCATTTTGGGTAATCTGGAGGTGTCAAGGGGTCTTATTTTCTGTGTATCATTAGCTCATCCGGGCCTAACAGAGTTTTCATTTGTTTTAACAGGGTTTTCATTCTTTTCCGAGCTGTTATAGTCGCTCTCATGACTTTTATTAGCAAAAGTGTTCTCTTCTGCTGATTTCTCATTCATTTCACTCAACAATCAAAGTCAAATTCTCATTCTATCAAATACACTCTATAATGGATCATTTGATTGTCAAACGTTGTTGTGCAATAATATTCAATTGTTGTATTGTTGATTTCGGTTGTCAACACTCGTCAACGTATTCAATTAATAGTATATGCCACTGAATGAGAAATTGATTCGAACTGTTAAGCGAAATGAGACGAAGAGAATGATAAAAAGTCATGAAGAGAACGGTATTCTCATGCAATAGCTATGAGAGTGAATACAACACGTCTGAAAAGAATGAGAATCCATGTGAATCAGTATGAAGTGAGCGTGTCACAGACAATAGCTTTTCATGCAATTATAATCAACAGCAATAATGAACAACACAATGGTCTAGAACAGTGGTTCTCATTAGAAGTGAAATTACTCGTTTTGGGTAATTTGAATGTGTCGGGGTGAGGGAGGGGGTTAACGGCGGCCTACCACATCATCAAAAGGGATAATTGAATACCCGAATGTGAGAACGACTGCCTTAGACCGTATCAAATCAAGATAGACGAGTTCTCGATGAAGGTTCGATCGAGCCAAGCTCACCTGTGCTTAATGGTTTCAGTTGTGATACTGCACGAGCGACTAGAATCTAATTCGGAAGGTAACGCGTCCAACAAAGCCACATCCGATCTGGTCAGATTCACCTTCACATGACCACTGCAAATATTGCTCCATAGAAATAAAACCAGCAACTCGCTCATCCCAGTGAATCAGTGGAATCAACGCCTACCTATCCGGAAATTCATAATCCGGGATATCCTTCTGATCCTTGAAAAGCTCGGTCGCAATCGCCCTTCCAACCTGTTCTCTCATCGCCATATAAAACAATATGTTTGACTCATTCAACCTTCACTATATATTCAGCGAATTTGCTGTGAAAATTTACAAACTGCACAAAATTCAAATATTACATTCAAATATTACAACGAAACCAACTGCTTGGTCATTTCTTCAACACTAAAATAAGTTAATATTCAAAAAATGCTACAATAACTCAAAATTTACTTTGACTGGTTAGCATGTTGATCGAGTTGATAT